TCATTACAGATGGTTGTGAGCCACCATGTGGCTGCTGGGAACTGAACTCAGGACCTTTGAACGAGCAGGCAGTGCTCTTAACCGGTGAGCCATCTCGCCAGGCCCATTTACTTCTATCTTAAATACTGAATTTTTAGGTTTTGACTTTAAATATTTGCCTCTCAACAATCAGATGTTATGGACTTGTAGGGAAACTTTACTTATGCTTTCATTTGTTTAAATACATCTCATTAGGTTCATGATCCTTTAATGTGAAGTTTAAATTTAGTCTGTTTATCTATTTTTCAGTCAGAGTCTCTTCTATTTCACAAATAAGCTACCAAAACTTTCTTTTTAAAAATGGATTTAGAAAGATCCATCACTTCCTACTGACTGTCCATTGTGGTGGTTTGATGAAATTCTTCCCAACCCCATACAAGTTATGGATATTTGAATATTTGGTCCCCAGTTGGTGGCTGTTTGGGAGAATTAGAAGTGTGGCTCTGCAGTATGACTGGTGTTCCAAACCTTTGCATCACTTAACTCTCTCTGCTTCTGCTCCCTGTCCATGGATCAAGATGTACATCCTCAGCTGTTGTCCAGTACCATCTGTCTGCTGCCATGTTCCCCACCAAGATAGTCATGTACTCATCCCTCTGGACTGTAACCCACAAATTCTTGCTTCTGTAAGTTGCATTTGTCATGAAAAGTAATATAACTAAGACATCCATATTTTAAAATCAATTTCATAATACTGATGTTCTCATGTTTATTCACAGAAAAGTACTACCTATTGGGGGATGTCCTTCTGTATGCTGTGAATATATGTTTCTCTTATTGGTTGATGAATAAAGCTGTTTTGGCCAATGGGCAGGCAGGATGTGGCCAGGCAGGAAGTATAGGTGGGGCTACCAGACTAGGAGAATTCTGGGAAGAGGAACACAGAGTGAGTTGCCAAAGCGATGCCATGTAGCTGCTAAACAAGAGCATCACCAGTAAGCCAAGACCACATGGAGATACACAGATTAATAGAAATAGGTTAATAATTAAGAGATAGCCAATAAGAAGCCTGAGCTATCAGCCAAACATTTTATAATTAATATTAAGTCTCAGAGTGGTTATTTAATAAGTGGCTGTGGGGATTGGTGGGTGGGAGAGAAACCAGTCCAGTGGGACTAGGTGAGACACAGAAATTTCCGTTCCACATGTGACACCCAAACACTTGGCACACATTTCCATGTAAAACCTGACAACATCTTAAAAAAGGATTCTAAACACAAAAGAACAGAATCCAGAATGGTTTCTTGGTAGCAGCATTTTCTCCGGTGGGCTCTGTTTGCCAGAGGTAAGTAAAGGCATGACTCCTTTCAGAGAGGCTTCCTAACTCAGTGTTAGCAGCAAAAACCCCAAGTGCTTTTAAGAGGCCTTGCTACCAAACAATTAAATGGGGGTTTATGAGCAACCAGCACAGTTCCCGCCAGTACCTATGCCATGAAGCCTGACTCCCAGGAAGCCAAGGAATGGGGCCAAGCCAGGCACCGCTTTAATCCTAGCCATGCTGCTTACCAGATTAAAGATTCATATGGTCAGAAAAATATAGAAATATACAGCAAAGACTGATTCAGAGGAGGAGAAAAAATTCTAAACAGTTTTCAGTATATTTAAAAATATATGTAGGTTTGGGAGAGATAAGAAAAAGCATAAAGTCCTCTAAAAAGAAACAAGAGTAGCTGGGTGTGGTGTCACATGCCTTTAATCCCAACACTGGGGAGGCAGAGGCAGGCAGATTGCTGAGATTTCAGGCCAGCCTGGTCTACAGAGTGAGTGCCAGGACAGCCAAAGATACACAGAGAAACCCTGTCTCAAAAGAAAAAAATTAATAAAATAAAGTAAAAGATATAGAGTAATGAAAAAGGCCACATAAAGATGGAAAATAGTCTGGATACTGTAGGTTATTGTGTTGTCTTTTAATTGTTTGCTAAGGAAGGAGCAACAGCTACTAAAAGCCATTTGATTATAAATGCTGCTGGATTAATACAACCTATATGTTTTGAAAATGCCTTGATTCCAAAATTTAAGTCTAAGGACATGTTACTTTGAAAAAGAGGTTCTGCTTTTGTTTCCACAGAAAATGAAAAAATGCTGTGGATTCCTTTCAGACTAATATGGTTTGATCAAGCAAGACCCCCTGAAGAGTGGCCCAGGTGTTCCAACATCCAAAACACCTGAGACCATGCAGCTTCAGACTACTATAGCCAGGGTTTGGCCAGAGTTCTTGATTTCCTCAGGATCCCAGTTCTTGGGATTGACAGTGCCCCCAAACAGCAGGAAAGTTTGTCGAGAACTACACCCACACCCCCAAATATTGTTTCTAATTTTTTTTTTCATTTAAACAGGATTGGTTCTAAATGTTTAATGGTCACAGTAAATCTCTAATGAAAAAATAGGGTGCATATGATATACTTTGCATTGGTATGGATTTTGATTTATTGATACAAATTTAAGGTCAATTTTTGTTATATTTCTACTCCTGTTTAGGTATTGTGTTCATAAAGCTCAATTTAAAATGCACAGATTATAGTAATCTATAATAGTCAAGGTTTATGTTAGTTTTTCTAGATATGCAGAGATACCTTCTAGTTGGACAGGTATTCTTCAAAACCTTTCAAAGACCTGTAGAATATGGCATTTAAAATGGTTTGGCTTTTCATGACAATGAGACACATCTCCTGACACCAATTATATCAGAGAGGAAGATGGACATAGAAGAAACTCATTATGGAGTTTACCTTCAACATGGCAGGGATAGCTATTTGGGCAAGAAACTGCTCTTGCTGGACTGTTTGACAGAACGCTGACCAAACTGGACAGGCAGGTTACAAAGAAAAGTGCCTGCTGAACTTGCCAAAGGACAGGATGGTCCTTCAAGGTTCCTTCTTCATGGAAAAGTATGCCAGGCACTTTGGGCCTATAGGCTAAAAAGGGATGCCCCAACATTATAGAGGAACTTTGGGTGACTGCTCAGGCATTGAGATGTCTCTATTAATTGTAGAGTTTATGCATTATCCTTCTGGGATCTTTGATGGAGTTGAAGACAGATAGTTAGGTTATGGTTTTCCTTAGTTATGATAAAAGATAAGTTACACATAAAACTTTAGACTCATAAACGTAGGATAGATGACAGATTTTCTTTAAATTTTACCAAATGTTAGTAGACTAAATATTGGTAACTATAGTTCTTGCTTAGTAACTGTTTTGTTATATATAATTTTACTATGTAAAATTAAGACCTTCCTTTTTGACAGAAAAGAGATGATTAGGATGTCCTTCTGTATGCTGTGAATATGTTTCTCTTATTGGTTGATGAATAAAGCTGTTTTGGCCAATGGACAGGCAAGCTTTAGCCAGGTGGGAAATTCAAACAGGGATCGAGAAAGGTAGTAGGTGGAGACTCCATGTAGCTTCGGAGGAAACAAGAAAAGCAAGAACCTGGCCATTCTCTGGTAAGCCAAGATCGCATGGGGATACATAGATTAATAGAAATGGGTTAATAATTGAGAGAGCTAGCCAATAAGAAGCCTGAGCCATCACCCAAACAGTTTATAATACAAGCATCTGTGTTTATTTGGGATGAAATGGATATGGGACCGGGTAGCAGAAACTTCTGTCTACACTACCAGCATGCATCTTAGGGGTTCCAAGGTGTTTCACCTGGTGGTGCTGCCCTGTGTGTTTATTCTATTGTTTGCTTTTAATCCCCACCAGATTACTTTATGACCATGGTTTGAACAATTTTAAGGAGCTGCTCACATGCTAGAATAGTCAGGTGCTTAGTTCATTAAAAAAGATGAACTAAAATATTAATAAATACTAAAAAGTAAATGGGATTTTATTAAGAGTACAGGAGGGCCGGGCGTTGGTGGCACATGCCTTTAATCCCAGCACTCCGGAGGCAGAGGCAGAGGCAGAGGCAGGTGGATCTCTGTGAGTTCTAGGCTAGCTTGGCCTCTAGAGCGAGTGCCAGGATAGACTCCAAAGCTACACAGAGAAACCCTGTCTCGAAAAACCAAAAAAAAAAAGAATACAGGAGGATAATATATCAGAGTTAACACTTGAATGTGATACTCTGTACAGGGCAGCTAGTACTGAAGGAGTGTGGGAAGCTGCAGTTTTAGTTGACAGGAGTTCATATACTAGGTTTTTTTAAGGACTCGATGAATTTCTCTGGCATCTTATTCTTAAAATGTGTGAGTTCACACATACACACCCAATTGTTACTGGTTCAGTTAAAAGTCTCCAGAGATAGAAGGGAATGCCAACTGGTCTTATTTTTCCCCAGAAATTACATTTATAATACTATCATTTTCAATTTGTAAGAGCCATTAAAGAAAAACATCCAATCCAAGGCAGAGCTCAAACACAGGCAAGGAAGAGACTGCTGATGTATAGTCAGAAGATGTATCATTTCAAAAAGGTGTAATGCTGCTCTGAATATAGAACAATTCACAGTTATCAGGACTCAAAACCTCATCTGAAGCATTTAGTTATTAGAAACAAGTTAATATAAATGACACTGGAAGTGAGTTATGGTCAATGAAATGAGCACTCAACACTGCAGTCAGAAGGACACTCAATGGTAAGTAGTCCACTATTATAAGAAACTGAAAACAAACTCAGTGAGAACATTCGAGATAAAATTATACCCACGAGGAGGAGGACTTTGAAAAATTCAATTCCCCAAGTACTCTGGAAGACTTTTTGTCTTTTACCACTAGCATATTTCACAACTTGTATGAAATGCAATCAAAACTACTAAAGGAGATAAATCTAATGGCCAATGTGAGCTGCTGTGTCATTTCCTGTAATAATCACTTTGAGAACAGAGAAGGGCACAATCTTATTTCCCATATTAACCTTTAATAATTCTGGCAATTCCCAAACAGTATTCTTATTTTAGTACTTACCATGCCCCCAAATGTTGGATTTCATTAATAGAAATTAACTCAGTGTTCACACAAGGGTAAGTAGTTCTGTCCACAATTTATTGAATTGCAAATCAGATTCATTAGATGTTATGTTGGCTAAACAGAGAATAAATCTGGATTCTTGGATGTCAGCATTATTGAAATGTTAAATTATGAGAAAGTAAGGATATCAAATACCTACCTAAATTTCAACAGTAAAAATATTTTTAAAGACCATCATATTTGGTAATAAATTAGGTTTATATAACCGATAATTTCAAAATAAATAAAACCTGAGTTGAAAATGCTTCCTCCTATGCTATCCCAGCATATATATTTTATAGCCCATTTTCATTTAGGCCAGTGTACTTCAAACTTCATCCAATGAATACATATATAACCCTTGGGGATCTTGTAGCAGTCTGCCTAAATTCCTAATGAACTAGAGGAAGCTGAAGCTGCTAGAACTCAACTTGAGCAGTAAGGTGACCCAATATGAATGAACTATGATTTCTGTCTTAATGACTGGCTTTATAAATGTCAAGTTAGAAAAGAGCATTCTAGTTAAATGAAAGCATGAAGTATACCAAGTTGGCAGTGTTTGGATTTGTCTAAGAGTGACACCTTTGATGGGATACCAAGCTTTGTTAACTTTAAAAGATAACAGCTGGAGGCTCTCCCAGTTAATTTAAGCCAATACACTGCAACCACTGTTAAAAATCTTTAATGGTTAAGTGTCCATTTAAGTTACTTGTAAACTTTCTTTAAGCTATCCCGTCTCCTCCTCCTCTCTCAACAAACAAATGCTGCTTTTTCTTCTGTCTTGTGGCCAAACAGCGTGTAACACCCAATGCCCCTCCCTTTAAAAACCGAACAAAATTGTCTCCAACCAAAGGGCCCAAAGCAAAAAGGTTGGCTTCTTTAACACATTCATAGGTGTATGCATCAACCTCCACAGGGTTCCCCTTGCATGTTATTGGCTGGCTTGAGTTATGGCCTAGGTAACACCCTTGTTCCTTCAGAAAAGACAGGTTAGGATGAGAACCTATTAAGACTACAGCTGCAGACAGTTTAAATATCTTCTTCAATCCGGAGACACTTTGAAGAATGCATTTCATGTCTGACTTAAAGGAAAGCACACGGTGCTCAGGAAAGCTGGTATAATCAGATGAAGGATCTGAGTCTGCAGAGTATGTCTGAGTACACATCATATGATAGACTTTGTGATACTCAGGGTACAGCTTTTGTGGAAGCTGCTTGAAAATTAAGCTTGGATCAGTTACTCGTCTTCGAAATACATGGATCACAGGGATATTATTGTTGTAGGCACACAGTACTGCATCGGCTGCAGTAAGGCCAGAGCCTACAATCAGCACTGGATCAGCTCTGCCACACAGCTTTCTTTTGTTTATAGCAGCTCCAAATTCGGGCATTGAATGAAACACAAAAGGTAACTCTTCCCCTTCAACTTCCAGGTGGGCAGGAGAATCCAATGTTCCAGTTGCAAGAGCAACATTCTCAGCAAAGAGGCAAAAGGGAACATGAGAACCACCTGCTATTCGCTGATAGCCTCTGATTTCCCAGTTTCTTTTGACAAACTTTGACTTCTGGTTCTGTAAATGTTTTGTTGAGATATCTTTGTCTTGACTACCATTATCACCTTGATCTCTGTAGAGTCTTGATACAGAAGTTATGTAAGTATTCTCTCTGAAATTCTTCTGAAGACCCATGACGTTTACATAGTGTTTGTAGTAGCGCGCTATTTCCTCTGGCATAACCCGGTCCCCCTTTAAGTTCCTGGAAGATGAAAAGGAAAGATACCCTATGAGGAGAGCACTTTCAGTTTCAGATTACTTTCCTAGCTAGTAAGCCTTTATATCTTAGTTCTTTTAAGGTTGTGTTCGTTAAAAATTACACTTTTTGTTTGTTTGTTTTTACCCTCATGTTTTAGAAAAACTGTTCTCACGTTTTCTTATCCCAACCAGAATGGCAATCATTAACAAAACATAAAACAAATGCTAGTAAAAAGAATCACTGCTGGTAAAGAATACAAACTAGCAAAGCATTGGTGGCGCTCGCCTTTATTTCCAGCACCAGGGAGGCAGAGGCAGGAGGATCTCTGTGAGTTCCAGGCCAGCCTGGTCTACAGAACGAGTGCCAAGATAAGCTCCAAAGCTACACAGAGAAACCCTGTCTCAAAAAAAAAAAAAAAAAAAAAAAACACCAAACTAGTCTAGTCACAACAGATATCTGTACAGAGGGTTCTCAAAATATGGAACCAACCTAAGTGTCCAGCACAGAAATCATGTAAAGGAAACATAAAAACAATACCCCCACCCCAACCAGACAAAGAGTAAAGTCATACAACAGGAAAACAGATGTAATCGAGATACTATATTAAGTGAATTACGCCAATCTCAAGTACAAATGTTTTATCTCATTCATGGTTTCTAGATTTTACATAAGTATATAAATCATACATGCATGTGTACATAACATGAAAACAAATTATCTAGAGGATCAAAGGAAGCAATCAAAAAAGGGACAGTTTAATAAACTTTGAATTAATAAATGGATTAAAATGTAGATGTTTGAAAAATCAGCCTATGTTACCTTACAACTGTAATGATTAAGATTGCATCATTAACAAATTACTGTTCAAGGGGGCTAGACAGATGACTCAGCAATTAATAGTGCCTAGGTTAAGAGTCCAGCACAAAGTTGGGTACAAAGGCACACACCTTTAGTTTTCTGTGTAATTTAGCAAGATAAATGATTCTGAAAAAAAAAAAAAAAAAAAAAAAAAAAAAAAAAAAAAAAAAAGTGAAAACTTTTCCATTTTGCTACTCATTTTAACAAATCTAAGAATATACTGAACAATTTCACTTGCTTATCAAATGAATTCAAACAACTTGACTGATTTTGCAACTTCAAATTTTCAACCTCTATATATCTATATATTTCCATTTAAAAAAGCCTAAAGATTTAACTTTTTGCCCCATTTATTTATCTTATATGTAAATGTGTTTCACCCTGTGTGCTTCTATGTGCACCAAATATGTCTAGTGCACATGAGTGTCAGAGGAGGGTATCAGATCCACTGTAATTTGAGTAATGGAAGGTTGGGAGCTGAACCATGGGAATTGAACCTGGGTCCTCTGTAAAAGCAGCAAGTGCTCTTAATCACGGAGCCATCTCTCCAGCCCCTTCATCATGATCTAGATATAAAACTTATGTCCTTAAATCTTTTAAAATTAAGAATTATTTCTACAGACTTACCATGGTTGCTACCTAGCAGGAAGTAAATTACTCAAACTTTACATCTCTATTCTAACAAATAGTAAGTAAATTCCTGCTTTAACTTACTTCCATGAGTAAAATTAGATTCTTTGCATTAGTAATTTATATCTAGTTTATTCATGTAACTCAAAATGATAGGACTTTTTACATTTCTCCTTTTGAATGTTATGTTCTTTCCCCAAAAATGAATAAGACTTGTATTCTTCCAAGAAGAAATTTCTCAGTGCTACTTAAAGTATTTATAATTAAATATTTGCCTTCATGTCCAAGTAGCCAACCATATCCTATGTTTTAGATTATCATTCTAAATGATCAATCATAATACACTACTTTTACTCTTCAAAAATAAACACCTTGCTGATGTGGTGGTATTCACCTTTAATTCCAGTGGATTTAATCCTGGCAGAGGCAGACAGATCTCTGTGGGTTCCAGGCCAACCTGGTCTACATAGTGAGTTCCAATCACCCAAGGTTATGTAGAGAGTCTCTGTCTCAAAAAACAAAACTAAACCACAGAAAATCACCTTAGGTATGTATACATGAAGTATAAATAAATACCCATTCAAAAACTGATACAAGTTTGGAAAATAATGTAGGTAGAAATAATTCATAGATTGAAAGTAACCATGATTTAATATGGAAGATAAACCCTGATAAAAAAAAAAAGATTACAGGAAACCCTCTGTAAACAATACTTTATGTACATGTAGCTTGACAGCATCCTAAGTAGAAACTAGCTCATAATCACTGTTTCACAAAAGAATTTTTATTTAACAAGTATATTTCTATTCATCTACCACAGGATTCACAAAAACTTCCAAAGTTTCTCAGTCCCCTGTCTTTACACATCAAAGAGTTTTAACCATTTGATCTTTACCTTCGTTTGCTAGACATCCAATCTTTAAATTTAAGTCCAGGTAGCTCCATCCAATTTCCAAAGCTGATCGTCAACATAGAGCCTTCCATATTCTAGTTAGAAAGTACAGTTAAAAAATGCAATGAAGCAATTTTCCTTTTGAAGGCAAATTCACCTTATTATATACCAATTCAGATCATGCATGTTCCCAAGAGTCCAGAAGAAAGAGTGGTATATAAATACTATGGATTTTGTTTTCATACGTAACAATAGCAGTTATACAATAGAAAAATGGTGCAACTAGAGTTAATCCTAGTAAGTGAATTAACCCACTTTCAGAAACAAGAGTCTTATATTTTCTCATTTATTACATATTTCCTCTGAAATTTCATTCTAATAAGACTTTCATACATTTTCACCAATTGGTATTACCTTTAGTTATACATTTATGAAACAAATTATATCATTAGCTTTGGTCTATGATCAGTACATTAAGATATAGTTGTTAAAGAACAAATCAGCATTTTTTTTTTTTTTTTACTTCTTAAACAAAAGAAAATGTTCACTAATTTCCAAAATATTGTTTTTTCATTTTGGTAGTTTTTTTTTTTTTTTTTTAATTAGAGAACTGTTTTTCTCTATCAGTTATAATTTTGAAATCTGGACTAGGCTGAATATAATATAATCACTTTCTACAAATAGAAAAATAAGCAGCAGTTGCCTAAGAAACATACTTGGCACTGGGTTTAGTGTTATCATCCTCAACCTACTTTTGCTTCAATCAAAACAAAAGCTTCCTCAAGCTTCCTCAACCTACTTTTGCTTCAATCAAAACAAAGCAAAAGAAGCTAAGGGCCAAGGCACCCACCCAGTCACCAACAAGCCATTCAGCTTTTATAGACAATGGCTCTGTTCTCATAACACAGCCCAGCACTGAGAATGAGCATATTATAATACATTTTATTCAGTCACTATAATTTTTGAGACAGGGTCTCATGAAACTGGTTTATTTATATATTTTTAAAAAGATAATATTATCTGTAATTTTAAATATTTATTTAATATATATGAGTGCTCTGTCTTCATGCACACCAGAAGATCAAATCAGATCTCATTACAGATAGGTGTGAGCCACCACGTGGTTGCTGGGAATTGAGCATACGTACTCTGGAAGAGCAACCAGTGCTCTTAACCACTGAGCCACTTCTCCAGCCCCTTTATATGCCGCTCTGGCCTCGAACTTCCCTATGTAATGTATATACAATGAATGCCTGCTGTCATTAGGATAATAGTGTTCCCAAAGGGGCAAAAGTGACAGAAGTATTGTCCAAGTATATGTGAAATGGTACTTCTTCAAAGATGCAAATGGGTTTTGAGGAGTATACCATTAGAAAAGGAGAATATTCAGGCAAAATAAAAACTGATATGACAACTGAAAAGTGAGGAAAAAAAATCAGTGTCAGGAAATTAAAAGAAACTGAACTTTCTGTAAGAAGTGTTGGATTATGCAAGGCGGGGTTGCTTCAAGGTTTCACATTTCTAAAACAGGCTAGTGTTCTTAGTGCCTCTTATATGATCTCTAAACCTTTGGTATATTCTACTTAATGAGAATGTATTTGCATACCCAAGCCTTGGGTATTGCTGTG